TCGTGCAGCTGCCCAGTGGGAACTGTGGGATGGTGGGATAATGATTCAGGCAATCTTCAACATAGATGAATTTCTGTGTGCATTGCCGAATCATACTTTATTCTGGATTATTGATCGACTCTCGTGTGACACCTGTCGGGACAGGGACGCTGTGCGCCTTGGCTGCGGAATTCATCACCTATGTCATCAACATTATCAATCTATTGCAGCCGCCGCCGTCTGTGCCGAAGGGTGTCCAACACTTCCTTATTGTACACATCCCTGTCACCCAGATATTCGTTTGTCCCTTTTGTGCGCAAGGACGCTATCAGGACTGCATGATGCCACACTGTGATGAACGTCCTGCTGTTTTTTTGACATGTGGACAGCAGCATGTCTTTTGTCAGGACTGTTTTGATGGGATGGGATGGTCCGTGCTAGCCGTCCTGCTGAATGCTGTGCTGGCGCAGCTCTCTTTGGCTATCCTTGTGAACATCCGCGTCATCCTCAGCGTGCCTGTCCTATCTGCCAGGGTGGGGACTCCTCTTCCTCACTCTGGTCAATAGGATCAAGCGATCAGGAGCAACAGATGTGGAGTTGAAGAAAGAAGAAAGGAAAAATTGAAACAAAAAGAAAAAAAGAAAGAAAGAAAGAAAGTACAAATTTCTGAAGAAAAGAAAAAGAAAACAAGAAAAAAGAACGAGAGAAAAATAAAAGAATATGTTGAACCTTGTAGTGACAGGGGAAATTGGTTTATCTGTGGGATGTGTCATTTGCTTTCTTCCCTTGTCTTTTCTTTGATTGGATCCCTTTCTCTTTCTCTCGCCTCTGTGAGGTCTGGTTTGCTCCTCGTTTTCTTTACCTCTTTTTTGCCTTTTGGCTGCGTGCAAGTGGGTCCTTGTGACACACGGGGATGGGGGCAGCCAGCGCTCAACCTGTCATCCACGTGGCTGGCCTTGTACGAAATAGGTGATGAACAGGTGGGGGCTTTCCTTCTTTCCTTCTTTTCCTTTCCTTGATTTTTTTTTTTTTTTTTCGCCTTCGCGCTCTGATTCACAGTGTGGCAATATATATGCACCTGCCATAGTCTGTCTTTTTCAGATTTGATGAGTGGTGCGGCCCGACGTGGTTGAATCTTACCGCAATCACGTCCAGAGCTCCGTACAAAAAGCCCTAGTGTGGGATTATGCCCTTAATTTCCTTTCCCGTGTCGCCGCGTCCTCGCCCGTCACCTCCTCGTCTGGACTTAAGTAATGTACCAAATGTAGGTATAGGCTTGGACGCTTGGAGGAAAAAGTGTTTTCGATCGAAAATGGAAAAAAAGAAAAACGAAAAACAAAAGAGGAAAGCGTCTCCGAGACCAGTGAGTTCGCCGCGGGTGGCTCACACTCTCCGATGCTTGCGTGCGTCGAAAGCAGTGGAATGATTCAATGAACGCTTGGAACAAAATTGTTAAAAAAAAACAAAAAGAGGAAAGCCATTGAACCCCCGATCCCGCATAGTAGTTATGCAACCACCAATTCCTGTCCCAGTTCCATACCTCTGTCCCAGTTCCATACCGCTGTCCCTATTCCATACCACTGTCCCAGTTCCATATCGACTTTTGTCGTCATTGCCAGCAGACACAACGAAGGATGTGGCGGGCCACCCTTCTCTCTCTCTCTCTCTCTCTCTCGCTCACTTGCTCGCTCACAAGAACTAAGCAAAACTCTTCTCTGAAAGTCATCTTCGCTACCTGTGTACTAGTTCCATATCCCTGTGTCCCAGTTCCACATCCCTGTGTCCCAGTTCCATATCCAAGCCTGCAGGTTCGGTCGTAGGCTCGTGGGAGGCGGTATGTTACTGTGTATTACACAAAAATAGTCGAGCTTCTGTCCCTAGATGGCGACGAGTCCTTCGGCGGGACATCTTTGCCGTCAAAATTGGAACGATACACAGAGAGAGAGAGAGAGAGAGAGAGAGAGAGAGAGAGAGAGGATTAGCAAGCCTCCTGCTCAAGGATGACAAGCATAAATCGAGAAATGGTCCAATTTCTGTTTGAGGGAAAAAGAGAAGAAGCGGCGACGCTGGGATGCAGGCTTCGCAGTGGGTGTAACAGGTTTCAGATCTGCACCGTTCTGGCCTATCTTTCAATGACTCTGCACCGTTGGCCACCCCCTCCCGTCACCCCCCGCCCTACGGATATCCGGTTCTTCTTACCTAAGGTGAGCGATGGGTATTTGATTCACTAGTAATGCCCTGAGTGATGGCGGATCGCGAGGAGAGGGTCCCTCCAGTCCAAACCCCTCGTGCGCGCACACGTTAGGGTGTTCATTCAGTGGGTTTGGTTGTCCGAAGAGAACTAGTGTATCTCTCTCTCTCTCTCCAAGTGTCTACGTATCTATCCACTTATCTGTCTACCTACGGCCGTGGTCAAACTATCTTCATACCTTTTTTATATCCTCTTCGTTCATTTGCACTATCTATTTATCGATCTATCGATCTACCTTCCTACCTACCTACCCACCTACCTACCTGTTTATATCTATCTACGTACGCACTTACCTACCTACCTAGCTACCTACCTACCTACACACCTACCTACCTACCTACCTACCTACCTACCTACCTATCTATCTATCTATCTATACCTATCCTCATCATATCTACCCGTATTTGCCTCTATCTATCTATCTATCTATCTATCTATCTATCTATTCATGAAGGTTGACGGACTCCTTGATGCAATAGGCAAAAACCATATAGATAAATGCAATGACAAAGAGATAATGAAGAAGTGGGGAAGTAGGCGTTATAGAGGGCCGAATGACAAGATGAATGCAATGACAAAGACAGAATGAAAAAGTGGGGAAGTTATAGAGGGCCGAATGACAATTACTTGGCCTCTGAGGGCGTACTCCCACTAGTGGACTTTCCGGGATGCATCTGACGGTGAATGCACAGCCAGAATCATCAGTCCACGGAGTCCCGGTGAATCGGTGCTGCATGTGCCCGTCGGCCCAACTCGCTCGCGAGGTTGTCACCACTGCGTCGGGCGGAGTCACGTACTATGCGAATGATTATTTCTTTCTTGTTTTTTTTTTTCGTTACCGTTTGAAAGTTGAAACAGACAGCAGGAAAAGAAATACTCGCGGCATGTACAGGACACATATGTTTGTACAAGTCCACACACAGCAGCAACTGCTTGTGGTGTTTAACGGCGCAACTGGACTCGAGAGCTCGAGTCCAAGGTATATACTGTGCTATGCTACTTGTCTCGTCTCGTGAACAACCAGGAAGTGACTGGCAGTGAGGAGTCGAGCTCGCCCTGCTGGGAGAAAGGGAAGGGAAGGGAAGGGAAAGGAAGGAAGGGTATTTTTGGGAACTGCCAGCCCTTGGTTGTTGGAACCGTTGGAACAGCGAACGCGTCCCTCTACTACAGTCTTCCCCGGAATACAACGTACGGTCATTATAGCTGAATTTAGACCGAAAGATGCACCAAATTCAGCTATAATGGCCGTACGTTGTATTCGGGGGAAGACTGTAGTCATGACCCGCCCATTTGCACTGTCCTCCCCTCATACATTCATTCAGTAAACACTAATTGAACTGTATTTTCAGCCTCCTGATGAGTCCGTAGGTGAAACTCCGACGAAGCAGTTTGTCACAGCCACTCGTTTGTTGTCCTCTTCTCCCTCTCTGCCTTCGGTTTCCCGGGCAGCTCTGTTTGACGATATATTGTCACACTGTGAATCGGAGCGCAAAGGCGGAAAAAGACAAAACAAGAAAAGGAAAAGTATATTGGTCGATGGTGGATTGTCCAGAGCAGTGACGAGGTCACGGTTGACCTCAAAAAGAATAAAGCTTCTCTCCGAGGTCTGGCCCCTCATACGGTCGATTCACTACTATGTCCGCTAATCTTTCTCGTCAATGGATTCTTAACAATGTTGCTAATGCCGTTGATGAGGCACATGCCTATGCTCTTGCACAGGCACGACAACATACACGGACACGCTCATCCTGTGTTGCTCTTCGTATGGTGGTCCGTGGACCACGTGCAAGGGAATGGATTACGGATATGGGATCTGACACTCTTTCTGTGTCTGACATTCTTCAACATCTTGGGTTTATTGTTACTAATACATGTCTATATACAGCGGGTGACCATGTTCGTCGTCAAGATGTTGGTATTCCTATGGGTGCAAACGCTGGTCCTGAGATTGCTAACCTTGCACTCTATTGGGATGAGGCACAGTACGTGGACAACCTGCAGCGTGTGGATCCCTCTGCAGCCCGCCGATATGTTTTCACTTATCGGTTCATTGATGATGTCCTTACCTTTGGTTGTCTGCCACCATCGCCAGCCTATTATGGTCTTGAATGGAAGGAGACCACTGCGGCTGATGGCTCGTGCACCTTTTTAGGTGCCAAACTGCAGACACGAGCAGACGGATCTCTCTGATTGAGTGTGTTTGATAAGACTGTTGGGTGGGATTTTCCTGTCATACGATATCCTTGTGCAACGTCAAACATTCCATCTCATCAGCCTGCAGGTGTGTTCACCGGCCAGCTTACGCTGTTTGAGCACATTTGTGACAATTGC